GGAAAGATGTCTGCTGTGTAGTGGAAGAGGGGCCTTTTAATTTTCGTTTGCATGTACATGGGCCTAAGTGCAGTATCCAGCACAACCTCTATAGGAGAGAGAACTTGTGAACGAGGACGTACCGGCATTTGCTAATAACCGAAAGTTAACGTTATACCGCCACCAGCCCTGAGGCAGAATTCGCTTCAATTTATGTGTTTAGGCGTTTGGCATGGAACCCAGAATAAGCTGTTGTTGATAATTTAAACGTAACCACAGAGTCGCATAGTATTTAGCTTGAAGCAAATTTATTCAATGTCTTAATCACGGCTGTTATGCGTGAACCAGTCTTCCTGCACTTAACAACTGTGATTGTGTTTTCATCTAAACGAGGGTTCACTTGTTAATCAAATCTTGAAGGCGACTTTGAGCTAAAAAACGAAACTAGCAATCAGAAGTCATCTCAAAGACTATCCAGGTTTAGCTAGGTTTGTTACTAAAACTTGCACGGGGGGCAAAACCAAAACTTGGAATACATGACCGCCACATATTGGATTGCAGGCTGACTGGTACATTATATTTAAGTTACTCTTTCTAACTTATTAGATTTTTTAAATTTCCTGTGTTTTCCTTTGATCTAGTCTAGTTGAAAAAGACGACGTCATGAAAAAAACTCGTAAATAAACTTAAACAAACCGAAACAATGGTGCATGCTATCATCAGCAAGAAAAACTGATTCAAAAGTAAATTATATGCTAGGAAAAAGAATTATATGTTTATATTGTAGGATATGCACCACACAATAAATAGTAGAAGACCGATCGAGTGCCACTTCATTGATGATATCCACATTACACAAAAGCCGCCGGGAGGGTACGTTGCATCTACAGAAATTGTGGCCAGTCACAGGTTCCGATCGGTACTAGCTAGACACAAACGTCCGTCGTTCGGCCCGGTCAATGTCTTTACTTTTAGTGATTTAACAAACACACGGGAGACCTCTAAATCATTTAGGTCTCCGACTTACACCACACTAAAAGGAAGACTATCGCAGTCAAACATGTCATGCAATGATGTGACGTCACGACATTTTAGTAAGATGTTAAAAACGTTTTCCCTCTTGTTTGTTGTGAAGTATTTTGTAGGCTATTTTAAGTTTATTTCGTGTTTGTGCTTGACGTTTCACTCGTGACTAGAGTCTTGTTATGATCAGTTTATAGATCAAGGTTAATCCGTATATGCGTTAACAGGTTTTTGAGTGTTATTACCTTTTTAATGGGTTTGTCGACCGAAGGGTCATCAAGCTTAGGGTTTAATTAAGTTTGATTGTCAGTTTTTAAGTGGGTACGTTTTGGAACCATTCCTGACCTTGATTGATACCTACATCAGAGTTCCTGTTTTGGTTTAAGGTAGAGTCTCGTGGGTTTAGCTGTAACGCTTTCATTGGTTTTCTTATGGGTTTGTCTATTCCACTTTTGTCATCAACAGGAAATTCGGAAAACTCGAAAAAGCGTTTGTAACTCTCATGGTCACTCAAGCCTAAACGTAACAACGTTTTACTTATATAAGTTGCCAGTGTTTAGCACAAGTAAGAGAAGAGAGAAAGTAGTTGACATTAGTTACATATGAGCTGCTGTAAAGATTAAAGAACAACAAGATGTAAACTCAGATACCTGGTACCTCTACGCTCAGCGAGCCAGTTGCTCGTAAACCCCCTACATGTTTTACGGTATTTAGTAATTATGACATAATTTCTTACAGGCGGTAGGTCTGAAAACGGGTATGGATCTTAGAGGCCAGGTCTGAAAACGGCTCTGACTACTGGTGCTGTCATGGTGATTTGTCACCGTCATTTTCTCATAGGTAAAAACCGCGGTTTCGCTCCCCGCATGCAGCTATATCCAATAAAAATTCAAAAACGTGGTTTTACGCACCCTAGCCGATTTAAATATTCAAATATAAAAAATGCTTTATCATCATAACATGACTTTGCTAGAAACACAAGAAGCTGATTACGTCAATGGACGTAGGGACTGTGCAATAATTACCTGGAGGGGGGGGCTAGGAAATGGGTGAAATATGCCCCAAAAGTAAGCCATACCCCCCCCTCTCATTAAGCAAGTCTTTTGCCGTCTATTATTGTATCAAAATAGAATAGGGATTTTTTTTTTTTTAATCTTCCTTACTGTTCAACTTTTTTTCTAATTTAGCAATCCTCTCACGTAGTTGTTTTTCATTTTCCATCTTTACTTGAAACTCTATCTTTTGTACCTTTTTGTTTGGATTAGATCTTACATTCAATAACTTTTTTGCCATATTTTTCAGCATACTCTTCAATGTAACCATTTTCAACCTTTTCAAGACTATTGTTATCTTTAGAAGGACATATGGTATTTAATAGTATGGTTTCTGTCGCAGCATTGCCTAATTTCATGCCGCGCGGAAGCCTGGCATTACCGGATTTTCCCGGACTTTTTAAATTCCGGATTGAAAATGGCTTCCAAAATAGAACGTAAAGCAAAGGTCATTACGTGCAGTTGAAACGATATTAAGGTCCAGATTACTCCAGAAAGTTACTATTCTAAAGCTAAGAACATTGTTTTACTGCTATAACGAACCTCGATTAAAAATTTCGAGAAAAGAAAGATCTAATCGGAGACTTTCGCTACTTGGAAGTATTGGAACGATTCCCGAATTGTTCGACAAAAATTTTGAACAAACAACCGCCGAGTTTAGCTGTTTTTACGGCGCTGGATCTGACCGAATATTGGGGAATGATAAGGGAGTGGGTGTACCTGTTTCTACAAACCGTAAAATAAAGACTACCAAAAAGCGAAACACGCCAAAGTGACCCTGAGTGAAAGGGCAATATTGTATATTAGGTCGGCAAGGCTTACATTAGATTTTCTCCCCGTCGCTGCGTACGGTCTCAGTAGAAATCCTAAAGATCAGGCCGGAAACAATTCTCACTGAACATGGATAAAAGCAAACATGCTTCAGTCTTACTTGAGAGGCATTTCTCGTCCGGTAACACTGCAGATCCTGTAATTTGGGCAATCAGCTTGTAATCACAAGTATAGACTAGTCCCTTATCTCCCTTCATGTGAACAACACTAGGTTTAACATACATAACGACAAAAAGTTCACTACACTCAGTACATTTCACGGACATTACTCTTTTCCGCGACGGGAATAATCCAGGTAAGCCCTTCTGTACTGCCCTTTTAAATTTTGCTCCAGCATACTTAGGCTCCGATCGGTACGTGCGCAATCACATCTGTGTTCCTTCCTGCAATGATCCTCTACTTTTCATATGCGGGTAGAATTAAACAGAGGATCCTTTGCTGTAGAAAATTTATAACCATGTTTGGTTTCAGCGACCTGTTCACCCTAGCCTGCGAAAACATCCGTTTCTCCTCGCTCTTCGCCGCTGGGGACGTTTCGCGCGGAGGAAACGCGAAACGTCCCCAGCGGCGAAGAGCGAGGAGAAACGGATGTTTTCGCAGGCTATGTTCACCCGGGCCGGTTAATCGAACAATTGCTTGCACTTGCTGAGTGTCGGCTCCTTAAGTTTAGCTTCAGGACATGGCAGAAATACTGCATCCTTTCCTTCCTAAGTTTAGACAGATTCTCCGAGGGAATATTGATCTATATTTCTTCGAAAAAGAATGCTTTCATTCCAGTTTTTACTCCGACTATCCGCCATTTTGAAACTGGACTTTTTAAAAAGTCCGGGAAAATCCGGTAGTGCCAGGCTCCCGCGCGGTATGAAATTAGGCAATGGCTAGAAATCTCGGACATCGAATTTCGTGAGATTTACATTCAGTTTGTCTCGCAATGGACAACTCCGCTGGATCTTTTAGTGTTTCGGGCTCATAGGTTTAGGACACATTCAGTGATGTTTGTGGTCCAACTGAAGCCGCTAACTGAAAGTATTGCCAAAAAAATGGCGACAATAAACTGTCCGTGAAACAAGCTTTTCAACGAGTGGTTTTGGGGGAAATTTGGATGAATTTTAGCCAAGATATCATGGTACAGCGAAGATCTTGAGGTTTAGCCGAGAATGACTTGGTCTATTTTGGCATGTTTCAGACCACAAGAAAACGCATCAGCAAGATTTCTAGCCATCGGGACGCGGGACAGTTTCTTTGTGTACGGTGTCCGTTGGAAGGAAGAGTTCTCCCCATAATGGCCTATATACGGAGGGGAGTCTCCGCCCAAAAGGGGTGTCTTTTTTAGCCTTCAAGTATACAAAATTATATGGATTTCACTTGTTTGAAGTATATGGATTGGGCATTATGCCATTTCGGTCTATGAAGGTTATCATTACGAAAACTTCAGTGATGTTACCACTAGTTATCGGTATTGACAATGCACTTGACCTTCCACACCGCGGTTTTCACTTATTCCACAAATAAAAAAAACGATAGAAGACTTAATTCAAAGGTTTTTGACCGGCGAAAATGTTTGACTAGTACTTCGTCTGGCGACTATATGGCGCGGGGTAGCATTTCACTTTTTGCTGGTTTTCTCGAAAAAGAAAATTCTTTGGAAACTTTGATTGTGATTTTCGAAAATGTTTCATCAAAGGGTTTTTTCTGACTGAATATGATAACCTTTAGTATCATGGTGGTGATCATCCCTCTAGTTGCAACAACAACGAGCTTTATTTGTATGACCATACAAGCACATACAGTATTGCAAAAGCTATGTTTAGGAATCAAAATTATACAACACAGGGCAATTACGTTACTTTGATAATAATTTGTCACGAACATCAAAACAAGCGGAAATATATTTTATGAATTGTATATTGATAAAGTAATTAGAAGAGTTCATCAGTTCATTGATCAAACCGAAAATTCGTATTTGTAAGAGACTAGAAAATGAAAAACGATTGAACCATTTATTGCTTGACAAATCATTAACGAGTTTGCTTACAGTGCCATATGATTTTACAAAATGAATACAGCATACTAAATAACAAGGACCATCGGCGCTGGTAAAAGGAGCAATACGGATTATTCCTTAGCAAGGTAAGTTTTGTTCATCAAATCAAGCAGAACATTACCAGTGGGATCAGAAAGTTTGGCCTTTACTTGTTCCGGATTAAACTTCTTATTTGTGTGGTATCGTAGGTTTGGATTCTCGCTGAGTATGATATTTTTCACAATCTCTGCGACTTCACTTCCGCTTTGTACCATGTTCTCGTCAAATGCCGTATAAAACCTTTGTTCAAAGGTCTGAAATATTTCTGTGGTCTTCGTATCAGTGGTTGACCTGTCATACTTTTTTGTCCAGGCTTCCACATTGCCTATTATTGATGATGTCACGGGACCTGATTCCAGGATAGCACACCTGCCAGCCAATGAAAGATAACTGCATAAATTATTTTGGCAATATTATTGGATAGTCACAAGAAGAAAACTCCGCTTTCCCCGACCTTGCTGTATGGAGGAACAGTGGTTTCTGTCGCGGGGACCAGAGACAGTTTCTTTGTGTGTGGTGTGCGATGGACCGAGGAAGAGATTAGATGATCATTGTTGGAACATTTATACAATTTGCCAAAATTAAGTTGTTTCCCATGGCCATTTGCAATAATCACCTCACAATTACACATGACTTTTTGCTCGATAGCAACAGCAAAAATGAGCCTGATAGCCAACCAGTTCCCCAATCACGCAGTTTGGATATTATTTCAAGAAGTTCAACTTGTTTAAAAGCTGCATTAGGCATCACGCAACCTCGCAGAGGTAGTCTCTGCACCCCTTAATCAAGACAGGATGCAGAAAAAGGGATGTAGAACGATCGACAACTTTGCTCAAAAATTGGAAGTATCAATCAATCAACAAATCATCACATTTATTTTACTACGCTAACCACACACAACGAAAGCTGGTCTCCAGGTGGGGCGTAGGTAGATACTCGTTTCAAACAAGTAGAAGCAGTATGTTTTTCACAAAAGTTCCAAAATTTCAGAGAACAATTAATTACGTACAAATGTATAATATCACTAATGAGATGCACATGCTACGACTCGTGTGAGTCGTACCACTTGACATCCCTCCCCCCGACGACCCGTACGACTGATCGTACCACTTGACAGCTAGGGGGCCCTCTCGGCATTCGTCACCTCCACATTTCCCACAATGCACCTTATTTGCCGATTAACGATTTTTTCCAAGGGTAATTCTGTGGTCAAGTAAACGTACATTTAGTACCTGATATTAAAATGAAGCATTAAGGACGCCATCACCTCAGTGAGGCCTTCCACTGCGAACTTTGAAACACAGTAAATCTCAATAAAGGGCATTGAAGCAATACCACCGTGACTGCTGTTGTTAATGATGCACCCATTCTGCCTCGCTTTCATGCCTGGCAGCACAGCTTGGATCAGTCGCAGGGCACCAAAGAAATTACGTACAACAATTTTGAATGACTCGTGGTATTTATGCCAAATATCACTACAAATCATGCTATTACCTATACAAATTTCTTTGCTCTGAGTTTTGGAAATAGTTGTTTCTATTACATTTTCGCTAGAGCAGAAGAACAACTTTTTCGGTACATGTATTTACAAACCTGATATGCAAATCGGATGTAATTGGTTCTACCATCTTAGGAATATCAGAACAGTTCAAATCCGGTGATGATAGAGTGATTTTACTTGATCCGTAAAAAACAGATAATAACTACTAGTGCAATATAGCTACAAGTGAAGAAAAGAAGACAACAGAATTAGTGCATAATAGCGCGTAGTATTCTACTACCTATTTCATAGATTAAGTAAATCACTCTAGTAAAAAAATACCTGCTTAGCAATAGCGAAGTAAAATCCAGCGTGGGAGCGATTGCATAATCGCTTAGTCTGCTACACAGCCGTTTTTAGCGTTGCGTGACGACACTAAAAACGGCTGTGTAGCAGACTAATCATCGGTAGGATCAACAGGAGTCAAACAAAACAGCACAGCAAAACAGAACAAAACAGAACAGCGGGCTGTTTTATCTGACTGTTTTTTTTTTTTTGCGGTCTAAAGCCTGGTCTTTACTTAAAACACAATCTTACGCTTGTAACAGTTGGTTATTACAGTCTTTTTATGTAACGTTTCATAAACTCTATTGATACAGCCATCAGATGTGTCGACACGAAATGCTTGAGTCATTTTAGTTTAAAACATCTAAATCACAAATTTTTCCTTTATACGTAAAGCCTGAAAAAGGTAACGCTTTCGGGCAGGACCTCTCCCGGGCCTTCATATAGCCTGTTCCAGGCCCCGAGATGGTGGTGGTAAGGGGTGGAAAGTCGTTCAGTAATAAGAAATGCGAAAAACGTGCCCCCTTTCCCAAGTCGTACGCGTCTTATTTTCGCTTTGCTCGTTTTAATACTTTCCCACTATACTATCTGAGAGCCTGGCACAGGCTAGCCTTCATAGTGCCCACGGGGTACATACACTCTTTTTTTATATAAGAATGTTGTTTTTCCGGCCCAGGCTGAATATTCTTATTTTTCTGCCGATTTTAGGCTGAAAATATTCTTGTATTATTCTTAAATTATAGCTTATGACATTTCCGTTTTAGAATTTATTGGGGTATATCTATATGTATTACATGTACCGTTCATCGAACTGTCATTAGCGTTGAACATTTTGCTATAGCTAGTGCAGGTTTTTCGTTTTGTTGGCTAGTTTCACCGTTCAGAGAAAGGAATAATTTTATACGGTTAAGTTAAAAACATAAAATTGTATTGTATTTACAGATGTTTCAACACACAAAATTATATCTATCCTTTTCAAAATCTCAGCCTCGGCTTTATTCTTAAAATATTCTTAAAATTTCGCAAATTTCAGCCTCGATATTCTTATAAAATATATTCTTATAAAAAAAAACGAGTGTACCTGCTTGTGATGCGATCGCGAACTCCTTGTTATAAAATGATGTTTAATATATTTCGTTGGCGAAAAGGAGCATAAATGAAATAAAGAAATAATCTATCTAAGTCTGAAAATATAACAGTACTTCAGGCACTTACACAACACATCAATTTTTCCCTCAGCGTCGAGCACTTCTTTAACAACCTTCGTGACTGATTCATCACTGCTCACGTCCATCTGTTTGATGATCAAACTGTCTCCAAGTTGTTCCTTTCCTTCTTCCTCCAGTTGTCCTTTCAGTTCGCCAGATTTCTCATGGTGGCATAAACCTTGAAGCGTTTGTCGGCATCTTTAGCCAGATGCACTGCAGTAGCGAGTCCAATGCCGCTAGAACAACCGGAGATCAGCACGATCTGTGAAGACATGCCTATGTTGATTTGCGTGCGAAGAAAGCCAGGTCTTAAGTGATCGAATTTGACGTAAGCTACAACCAGTTGCAAAAGTACTTGAGACACTGTACCGTATTTTGGCATAAATGGCCTGTCCATGATCTTGTGCTTGTGATGCCCCCTCCACCCCTTATCAAAGTTGCTAGCAATACAAGACCATACTCAAAACTTGGAGGAACAACTTTGAATGGGAGGGAGGAGGGAGGTCAGTATTATATTTTACAGACCTGTGACCAGGAGCGATTTGAAGCAAGAAAGGTCGTTTTTTGCAACTGGTTGTAGCTTAGTTTAAGTCACGCTGACGTTCCGGACGTCATGAATAACAACCGGAATTCGATATCTTGCTTGATGGACCCTTCTGCCGCACACAACGAATGTGAATTCCTTTGTTTTATATCCTGCTGTAAAAATTTGTCGAGTCAGAGCACTTAAAGTACCAACTTTCGGTTCCCATTATTTTTTACGTCCGGGAGATCAATTTTCTCTTTCCCACGTAACCTGCGATCAGGAATTTTTTTTTGGCGCCAAAAAGAAAAAAACTATCTCCTGAAGCCCGCACTCGTGTGGGCTTCGTCACCCGTTCCTGAGGCAAATAATGTTACAGAAATTCCTTAATCCGGGGAGCTCCTGAATATGCATAATACTTTTAGTAACTATTTTTATTATTTTATATATTTGTGGCGATTTTATAATGCAATGCAGGTTTTAACATTGTATTCAGTATCACAGTAATTTTAAACGGAAACTTAGATAAATAGTTTTTCGTAAGTAAATATAAAAACAATATTTTTTTAATTTCTTACTTATATGCATTGACGGTTTCTAATATTGTGTTGTATCGCTGAAAAGCCCCTCAGGCAATAAACTTCGTTCATTCATTCATTCATTCATTCATTCATTCATTCATTCATTCATTCATTCATTCATGGGGCAGGAACGTGTGACGAAAGACCTAAAAACACATTGTGACAGGAGGTGACGGAAGGTAATAGACGCCTGTCATAAACCAGGTACAAGAAATTCCTCAGCCTTCGAAAGGGAAGGGGATGGGGATTTCGGGCGCGCGAGCTATGCGTCCGTAGGCTTACCGTATTTAGTCGGTTTTAAAGGCGTTCCTTTAAGTTTTACAGAAAGATGACCAAATGTTCCAATGTCTTCTTCTATGGGGACGCCCGAGCTTGAAAATGGGGCACCTGCAGCGTAACTCTTTGGCGATTAGCTCTTTCGCTATCTTTTAATCGCAAGGGTCTGCGATACACATATTTCTTATGTAGTGTAATGGGGATGCCAGTAACCACGGTAATGATAAGCTGATGACCGGTAGTTACCATAGTGATAATGATAAGAAAGATGATGGTACTGGTGGTGCGATGGAGGTTTGACGGCCAGCCCGCCGGTGGTGGTGTTAATCATGGACTCATGGTGATTGAAAGGTTAAAGGTGATAATGCTTAAAAATTGATGTTGAGGTTGACACGCCGGCGAATTCAGCCGTCTCTCCTCGACGCCGTGCTAGGGGCGTTTCGTTTAGCCAAACGTCCTGAAAAGAGCGAGGAGAGACGGATGTTTTCGAAAGCTAGGAATAACAGTGTTGGTAAAATTTTATGAGTGCTGTTCCCTCTCATTCTTTAACTTTGACGACTATGATGGTTTTGATGATGGCTTTGATTATGGTCATCGTGTTGGCTTTGATGGTGGTTTTTAGGATTGGTTTATGTCAAGTTAGGTTTTTGGTTATCTAATAGAGCGCGCGACTAGAACGTGCGCTCGCCTCCTAGATATTTCGCAGGCTACCCTGATTCACCCCATGTAAGGTAATCCAGTTTCCAAAATCCGGGGAGTGTTTGCTTCAGGAATCCTAAAACCAGGAAAGTTTTTTTCTTTCTTGTGGAATCCGCAACGCTGAGCCCAGTTGTTCGAAGGCCGATTAGCGCTTAACCCGGGGTTAAATTTAACCCCGGTTTCTTTTTCTTGTGTTCGAAAGCATTTTCTCGGATAATTTTCTCTGAAAAATTTAGAGCTTCCAATCATCAACTTGTAGACAGAAAGAATTAAAACTGAAATCGTTTTAAAGCTTTCAAATCTGAATTCAAATCTCGCACTAACCCTGGGTTAACTTAACCCAGCTTCGAACAAATCGGCCCTGGGCTTTGAAATCCGGAAATCAGCACAAGAAATCCGGAATCCCGTTTATGATGGCAATCCCTTCCACTGACAAGGAATCTGGGATCCAATCTGGGATTAATGGTCAAACTTGGGGGGTATTAGCCCTGAAAAATCCCATCCAAGGTGTAATACGCTGTGACCCATGAAAGGGTTAAACAGCCTATATGGAGAAAAATGACTTTAGATGAAAAGACACCCAGCATCAGTAAATCGGAATCTTTCAAGTTTGTTTTGCTGACCTTAGAGTCTCTATTCGAGTAAACGCTTGCCGGCCAATTCATGAAAGTGTCTCGGGGTCTTGAAGAAACTTACTTCTTGACTATATATGATTTTCCATTTGACAATCAAATAAAAAAGGCTTTAATGACTTACACTTGGAATAACATTCATGCATCAACTTGTTAACAGTATACGAACTATTCTTTATCGAAGTACTTTTTGACCATCAAATCAACCATAACATTCCCAGTAGGATCAGCAAGTTTGGCCTTTACTTCATCGGGGTGGAAATTCTTATTTGTTTGATATCGTAGGTTTGGCTTGTCGCTAAGTACGATCGTTTTCACAATCTCTGCGACTTCCTTGACATCTTGGATCACCTTAAAGGCCATTGGCCATAACTTTCCTGTGCCGACTTGAAGCAGTTTCGAAGTCTCTTCGTCAGCAGTTGGCTTGTCATATTTCTTGTGCCAGGCTTCCATGTTTCCGACAAGTACCGTCCCAACGGGACCTGGTTCAAGTAGAGAACACCTACCAAGGGTAAGGAAAGGGTACTTAGAGGTTGATTATATCGCGGTAGTGCGTGCTGTAGAAGGTATAGTTTAGTTTAAGCAACGCATTCAACTTAGATTAAATGCATAATGCTACTTCATGGAATGTGTAGGTCCACAAAAGAATCTGGGAAACGTTAGAGGGAGGGAAAACGGCAACCGAGTACCTCTGGGGACGAGGCTGCGCAGCTCAGGAATTTTGTTAGTAAAGCTGTAGAAAATGGCGAACAAATTCCACACGTTAAGCGTGGAAGAAATAGCCGAACTACTCCCTCAAGAAGCCTGAAAACACGCTTTGACTAGTTGGACTCAAAGGGTCGGTTGTTTAAACGAAGTCTAACTTAAACCGCAGTTTAAGAAATCTTTGGACTTCCAGATCTCTTCATCAGTGGGTTACTTTAAGAAGACAAATGCTTTTGTATAAACAAACGGCTGCCACAGAAACAGCTATAAGGTAGTAAGCCAGGGCAGGACATGTTACAGCTGAGGCCGTAGTTTAGTTTCTTGTCTGCAAACTATTAAGAAACTGAGTAGCACCGTAAAGCTCATTGAAGGGTATTCCAGAAATATCAACCTGTACCCAGGTATAGAATGGTTTGCCCGTGGCTTCTAACGTCCTGGCACAAGTTGTTTAAAAGTTGCATAAAGATATCCAATGGATGAAACTCTATCAGCTAGAGAGTGTAATTGAGTTCCCTGATACTTATCCGCTGGATAGTTAGCCTGTGAACAGTCCTTTGGTCCAGCGGGGAACTTTCCTTTCCCTTGCCTTGCTATTTTTTCCCCCAAACAGAGAGCCTTCCTCTATCAGCTAGAGTGTGTAATTGAGTTCCCTGACACTTATCCGCTGGATAGTGTGATTTATTCGTAAGTTGGAAAAAGCTATCCAAAATTTGAACATTAACTTTGGTCTACTTTACCTGATATTAAAATGAAGCAAGGTTGGCGCCATTGCTTCAGTAAGGCCCTCCACTGCAAACTTTGAAGATGAGTAAATCTCATTGAAAGGTACTCCGACAATTCCAACATGGCTGCTGTTGTTAATTATACACCCGCTCCTTCTCTCTTTCATGCCTGGCAGCACAGCTTGGATCAGTCGCAAGGTACCAAAGACGTTCACTTCAAACAATTCCTTGGCCATGTCCACTGGGACACACTCCATTATGGTTAACAATGCTACTCCAGCATTGTTGACTGTTGAGCATCAAGGTATTATTTACTGTTAGTTTTGTTACCAGGCCCACCTGGTTCATTATAACAGGGGAGAAGAGTGGAGGGGGATTGATGGAGATCCAAATCTCTCGAATCCCGCACCTCCGATCCCGGTCATAATTTATTGAAGTTTTCTTGAAAACACAACTTAAACTTAGTCCTGTTAGTCGGTTCATGAATACATGTGTTGCTTGCCTATCCTCCCCTCCCTCAATGTTGGTTTCTCGCGTTTGCTTGGGCATAAACGTGTTCCATTGAAAGAGAAGGGATGGAAAACCTTGCAAGCGCTTCAGTTATGACCGGGAACGCAATCTAGGTCATAATTTGTTGAAACACGTCCGGAAAACACAACATATTAAAACTTAGTCGTTTCATGAATGCACGTATTGCTACCCTCCGGCTTTCTTCAACGTTGGTTTCACGCGTTTGCTTGGGCATAAACGTCTTCGACGTCAACATTGAAAGGAAAGGGAAGGAACACGTAGCAAGCGTTTCAACAGTTTCCACCCTCCTTTTTTTTCTTGCCTCTCTTTTTTATGGCCCTTTCTTCGATTCATTGCAAAATGTTAAGCACTGACACGCATGACACGCATTTAATTTTGGGTGCGTGCATTATTTATTTATTTTTTTAAGTTGCGTGTACATTTAGTTCGTTTAATAACGTCTTAGATTTGCTTTGCGTTATTTTCCTCACTTACATGTGTTGTCCGCGACTGTGCTCACACGGTAGGTGGCTCCTCCTAAAATGTTCTGCAATTGGCATAGGATTTAATGGAGCCGAAACCAATTGTGGAATTGCACGCATTTTAGGCATCCTACTGATGAACAGTTGGGACACGTAGATATATTTTTTAGCAACTACTATAATTTGCAGTCTGTCTACTTTGAATTTGAATTGAAATGCGTAATTGTTCCTTTGCCGATTCCCTTTTTTCTCCCGCTTTCCAACTTTTATTTTTTTTTTAATTATTTCATTCGCCGTAATAGCCGTGGTTTCGTAACCCCTACTTTGCATATTGCTTCGTCATGCTTATATTGTTTGTCCTAGCTCAATCTGACAAAGTCAGAAATCCTTATTGTTGACCTTCACATTCACAAAAACTTAAAAAAAAAAATGGTCACAATTTTGCAGCTCAAACATTTTTTTAGTCTCTTTTAAGCGAACTCAAAGCATTACTTCTTTGATTGTTTTTAAATTGCGTGCTGACCTATATAAAATCCACTTTGTCTATTGCGAATTAAATTAGCCCGGGTCAGCAATATTCAAGAGGAGCCGAGAAAGCAGTCAGCTAGAGAACATCTTTCGATAACTTAAGTTTGAGCTCTTTCAAAAATTAGAGTCAGGGCTTTCCAAAAGAGCTACCACCCCTTTCGTACTACGGGTCCTGTCGCGTTATCGCGCCTCCATGAGCACCCACTTCGTAAAAATTCGTTAGACTATAGCGAGGTCGATGCAATTCGATACAGCACTGACATTGTTAAAAGGACATAACTATCAATGTCGGGAACCACTTACACAACACATCAATTTTGCCTTCAGCGTCGAGCACCTCTTTAACAGCCTTCGAGACTGATTCATCACTGCACACGTCCATCTGTTTGATAATCAAAGTGTCTCCAAGTTGATCCTTCCCTTCTTCCTCCAGTTGTCCTTTCTTCGCCAGATTTCTCATGGTGGCGTAAACCTTGAAGCGTTTCTCGGCATCTTTAGCGAGAAGCACGGCGGTAGCGAGTCCAATACCGCTGGAACAACCAGAGATGAGCACGATTTGGAGAGACATGTCCTTTTTGATCTGGGGATCCTTATGACCACGAAAGGTCGGGGTCAGTCATAGATTTGCATATTGGTCTTTCTTTCTTGTAAAAAAATGAAAACAAGATAGGAGCGTGACACGAACGCAAGAAAGTGTGCGTCACAAACAAATTAAATAAAGGCACCAAATACCCGGCATGTGCAATCGATAAAACCGATAATCGATAACATTCGATAACAATCGATAAAAATTAGTAAATTGTATCGGAAATCGATTAAAATCGATAAAAGGACACGTTGTGAGTAATCGATAATTATCGATTTTTAAATTAATGTTATCGATTTTATCGAATTTCTAAAATGTATCAAATCTTCCATAAAAACACTCTTACGATTCAATGAATCAAGTAGGACGAATTTAAAGATTTATTTAACAAATCGATAATTGAATGAATACTGATAATCAAATAATATTAACACGATTCCCTGGCATGATTCAACGGGGAAACGCAACATAACATAACCGCTTTTTGTATTTACTCAGAAACTGTTCAAGCTAAATGTCGTAATGACATCCTACAAATACATGTACTACGAAGTACGAAGCTGCGTAGTTGTAATGCTAGACATTGTCTCCAGTAAATGTTTTGTCAGCAAAACCCTCGCCGCCGCAAAAATCATACTACAAATCAGAGCTAAAATCATTCTATAAATAAGTAAAACGGAGTAAATGATGAACTCCGCAACTAAAGCAGAAGAGAGGTAATGAAACAAAAATAACTGATATAAATTTGAAAGGAACTCAACATTAAGAAGCTCAGAAAACATGTTTGTAAATGCCGTCCGACGGCACAGCTAATGGAAAAGTTGGCCGAGAACTTTGACTTAGAGCAACACCAAGTAAGCTTTTTCCTGGAGATATAAAGTAAAATCATCGAGAGACCTTGCGAGAATATACCGGGAATATAAGAGTCAAAATGATTAACCGGGATACGGTTGCATGCAATAAACATATAAACATATAAATTTGGTTTCTTTTTTTTTTTCCTTTTAGGTTAAAACATGGTTCCAGAACCAAAGAAACAAAAGAAAAAACAAAGAATGAAGTTAATGTGTTGACTGAATGAAATAAATCCTTGGTTGCTTAATGTTTCTGTTCATTGTTTTATATTAAATTAAAACGCTGTCCACATAGAAGCAGTTTTATATTTTATTTTGTATGGTTTTTGATACTCCGTTAATATCGATTACTCGATAAAATCGATATCGTTAAATACGCGGAAGACTGTGAGTATCGATTTCTATCGATTGATCGATAAAATCGATATCGATTAATTAAAAATTATCGATTGATATCGATTTATCGAACGGTTTTCCGATATCGGTTTTTATCGATTGGTCATACCGGGCCAAATAGGATGTGTACGCAAGGAGGAGCTCTTGAACCCCCCTTCAGAAGAAGCGGAACTTAAAAAGAAAAAAAGGAAATAAAGGAGAGAATGAGAAAGACAATTTAACGATAAAAGACACTTAACAAACTTATTTAGCTTTACTTAAAGGAGTTTCGTCACGGAATTTATCAAAATTCAAACAGAGGACGGAACTGCCACACCTAACTGGGTGAAACATGAATAACCGATCAAAGAAGCTAACGTATACATGACACAGCAAACTGAATACAAAAGAAAGGCGCAGATGGGAAAACTTGAAGAAGATATTGAAAAGGATTGCAATTGTGGTTTCGAAGACTTGTTAGCCTCTTAGTCTTTTAAAGTTCATTTCTGTTGTTTGTAAGCTTTTGTAAAGTTTGATAAATGCCTTGGAGATATATTTGTTTGGCAAAAGCTGTGATTTTGTCATTTACAAGTAATTTCTAAAAGTTCATTGCGAATAAGGAGGCGTAACTGACATGATTATAAACAAAGTGAAGTAGCCAGCCGTAATCCAGTCCCTTTAAAAAACACTTCAACAAATTAGTTTTACGTACCTTTTATTCAGTTTTCATGGTTTGTATGCAGTTTGACATTTATGCGAATTTTTTCCCTCTCTCTTAAATAAAAAAAACTGAAACCACTGATAAGGAAGTGTAGCAAGAGAATCCAAAGAAAAAACTACCATCTTGGACTAAAGTGGAACAACAAACCCCCACCCCCACCCCTATGGTCTTCATATACTGCTGTAAATATTTATTTCACGCTGGGTCAGGCACAGGTTTATTACATTTCAGATCATTGTATGATGGCGATACTTGTAGGCCGAGATTTTGAATTATTAACGCCGCAAGCGATTGTCAGAGATTTTTGACTCAGTCAAGGATGTGTCCGTACTATCGATTGTCCGCGCTGGTTAAACTGAAATATATCGAGAGTCTGAGCGCGATGTCATAAAGCTATTAGTATATGTTATTTTCCTTTCGCTAAACTAGTTTTTCCAGGTTTTGTTTATATCACGTTCTACCGTATTTTATAAAGCGAAACCAAAGACCCACATCACATATGTAGCTTAAGAGGCCGTTGCTTCGATTCACAAAGAAGTCAGCATTCAACGTCGCAGGAAACCTTGTTATAGTCGTGAAATTCACTTTCCAACTGCGTATTTAGTAACTCTCGCCAAAATCCAAGACACACCAGCGCGCAAGGTCGCGGGGAATCACTCAAACTTTGTTCTATCCTTTAATCTGATTGGCCAAGATCAAAACAAAAGGTTTTACGTCACGGAAATCGTTCTGCCGCTCTGATTCGCAGACATTACTTTTGGGCGGAGAGAAGCGACGACCGGAAATACGCCTGCGTCCGCAGGATGGGGAATTAGGAGAACAAACCAGGAAAATAAAAATATATATATATGTCATTTGGATCATTTTACGTTTCTGGGAAACTGCCCACTTACCCCTCCCCCAAACCAACATTAACACTTAGTTCTTACTTAGAGCAAAATGTTGGCTTAGGGGAGAGGTAGGAGGGCAGTTTCACACAAACGTAAAATGATGCTGTATTTTTTCCCCCTTATCGGTGGGATTCAAGTTCTGGATTCCGGATTCTTTGAAGGTGGGACTTTCGGGTGGGACTTTCGGGTTCCAATTGTTAGTGGGACTCCGGATTCCACAAGCAAAAATTTTGCGGTCTCCGGATTCTCGCAAGGAAGAATTTCGCAGATTCCGGAATTCCTTACAAAGGGTGACATGGATAATTCAATTCAAATGCGGTGGATTCTGGCGATTAAAGAGTGTGAGGGGAACATAGAATGTTGTGACCAAAAGGAGGACAAGAAAGACTGTCGAAAAAAAGACACCCGACGCGCCGCCAGCAAAGGAAAAAACAATTTAAATCACACGTTCATTTTCGATCAATTAACGTTTGTTTTCCATCAATAAGTAAGTTCAGTGGTAAAGAGAACATCATCCGTTACAGAAGCCGTATAAAAGCATGGTAATCACCTTCGATTCAAGTAGATCGCCTTATCCAAGCTATTCTTTACCTTAAAAGTACTTTTTATTCATCAAATCAACCAGAACATTCCCAGTAGGATCAGCAAGTTTGGCCTTAACTTCATCGGGGTTAAACTTCTCATTTGTTTGATACCGTAGGTTTGGCTTTTCGCTGAGAATGATCTTTTTCACAATACCAGCGACAACTTGACTTGTTGCATCACGTCTCCAAATTTTTTCCACATCTTTTCTTGAGAGGCTTGAAATAGCTGAGAAGACTTTTCGTCACAGGCTGGCTTGTCATATTTCTTGTGCCAGTTGTTCAAGTCTTCCTTTGGTGAGGTTAAGACAGGACCTGGTTCCAATAAAGAACACCTGTCAAGTAAAAGAAGAAGCAATTGCATTTTCTAAGTTAGATCATGATAGAGAAGTAGCCGTAAGGCCTGTTTACACAATACAAGCGAAAAAATTGGAATTGCTCAGAAAAAAAGACGAGAACTATGAAGTCCCGGAAGTTCGATGTCTCGCTTGATGGGACGCTTCTGTCTCACGCAATGAATCTGAATGTCTCTGTTTTAACTCCCACTGTACGAATTTGTCGCGTCAGAGCACTGAAAGAGAGAAAAGATATACATCCGGTAGATTAATTTAGGTTTCTGGGAAACTTCCCACCTACCCCTCCCCTAAGCCATCATTTTGCCCCAAGTGAGAAGTAAGTGTTAATGTTAGCTTTGGGGAGGGGTAGGTTGGCAGTTTCCCAGAAACCTAAATTGATCCCATCCGGTTGCAAAATTGGACGTCCGGGACGTCAACGTTCTCGTTGTTTAAGGTCCCTTACCGACGGTATTTTAGGCCCAATTAGGTGTGGTTAAGGAGCCCCCCTAAAGCTCAAGGGTATTTCAGCAATACCAACCTGAAAGAGTCTAGATTGGTGTACCTGTAGCTTGTAATTTATGTTATATACTTTAATTACCTGATGCTAAATTGAAGCAAAGTTGGAGCCATAGCTTCAGTTAGTCCCTCCATTGCAAACTTTGAAGCACTGTACAGCTGTAAGACAGGCATTCCAACAATTCCATAATGGCTGCTGTTGTTGATAATGTGCCCGCTTTGCCTCGCTTTCATGCTTGGCAGCACAGCTTGGATCAGTCGCAGGGTTCCAAAGAAGTTCACTTCAAACAATTCCTTGGCCATATCGACTGGGACACATTCCACTACGCTAAACAATCCCATCCCAGCATTGTAAACTGTTGGGCATTTAAAACTTGTAGTTACAATATTTATCGTCCGTCCTGTACCAGTCACTACTTATTCGCGCGTCTAATTAGCTCAATTGGATAAGCGCCGGTATGCATGCCAAGCAGTGTGTCACGCAAAATCACCAGCTTTAAAGTGATAATGCGCGGAACTCGGGTTTGTTCGGTTACCTGCTTCGACAACGCCAACTTTGACCCTGTTGCATTATCTGTTGGAGTTGCCCAGGGCTCTTTCTTGGACCCGCTATGAATGATTTGCCAAATGACTTTTAATTCTGCAACATTAATTGCATGCTGGTGACAGTGTATTATATTTTTCCTTTCAGAAGTTGAATTTAAGTTGAACTCGAACCTTACACACCTGTGACTGGATAAATACTAATCAACTTATCACTCTTAACATCAAAAAGTCACAATTTATTTTAATAACAGCTCTGCGAGGCTTATTAAAATTGACTCTATTACCATTAACGCTGGTCCATATCAGCTTTTATGCGACCTTATGATGTAGCCTGCTTTATCAAATGGAATGATGATGATGATGCTGATGTAAATCATTTAGTTTAATCTCATTCAGTGATTTCTTAGTACGTATTGTTTATTTATGCATCAGAGGGATAGTCGTCCTACGCCAGAAACACGTGCCTTATTTTCCACGCCTAAATTGGATTAATATCCTTTTCACCGGTCGAAGTTATTCCTTATAGAGGTATTTCTTGTTCATCAATTCAACCATAAAATTACCAGAAGATTCGGCAAGTTTTACTTGCAGCTCGTCGGGGTTGAACTTCTAATTTCGTTGGTAACGTAGGCTTGGCTTGTCACTGGGTATGATCTTTTTCACTATCTCTGCGACTTCATTGGCCTTTTATCTCATCAGGCCACTTCCGAGTTGTATTACGGTACTCCCTTTAATGACCTCCGATATGGGGAGACTCCGCCTAAAAGGGGTACCCTTTTCAGTCTTCAGGTGAACGAAAGGTAGGGGTTTCACGAGTTTTAGTATGTGAAAGAGTAGGGAAATCTTCCATTTATATAAAAGGTTTTTAATTAAAGAACATATTTCGAACATACACAATCTTTGCACATTCAAATGTCAAGAAAAACTTCCTATTTGG